CGCAATCCCTTCTCCTCCATTCTCCTCTCAGGACCTTGGGCACGCACGCACACGTGCCCAGCGTGAGTTTTAAGCTACCGGGTCTGGGACACGAACCGAGGTCGACTACATGGGAGTCCAGCGACATAGCCATTACACCAACTGCTGGTCCCTCTCTCTCTCTTTTTTAAAAAAGAATTATTTTATTTAACTTTCTTTATTAATTTATCTATTTTAATTTGAACAGAGAAGAACAGAGTGAGAGAGACAGAGAAAATGAGAAAGCAAGCCACCAGGTCCAGGACTTGAATCACAGTTGGGCATGTGGGAGTCCAGCACTCTTAACCACCATGCCACCCACTGGACTCCCTCTCTTATTTTTTTAAAGAATTATTTATTTTATTTTTATTTTTATTATTATTATTATTATTATTTTTTGCTTTAGGGCGCGTGTGCTCGCCAGACAGACAGAGACAGACAGAGAGATAGAAAGCGAGAAATCACCCCCCGGGGGGATGGTCACGCCATAATCCCTTTTCCATTCTCCTCTTGGGATCTTGGGCATGCACGCACACGTGCTTGGCTTGAGTTTAAGCCACCGGGTCTGGGACTCGAACCGCAGTCGACTATGTGGGAGTCCAGCGACATAGCCATTACGCTAACTGCTGGTCCCTGTTACTATTTTCTTTTCAAATTTGCTGTAAGGCCCGTGTACTCAACAGAGAGAGAGAGAGAGAGAGAAAGCCGTCAGGTATGGAATTCCAACCATGGTCAGCCATGTGGGAGTCCAGAGCCTTAACCACCACGTGGCCTGCTGGCCCGCATACTTTTCTTTTTCCCCAAGTTTATTTGTTTATTTCTTGCACAAGAGAAAGCGACAAAGAAACAGGGACTCCCAGTGGGGTCTTCACACTGCCGTCCGGGCTGTCTCCGCTGGCCTAGGTCACAAACTGGCATGCATGTGCCCAGGGAGGGTCTGGGTTTGTGGCGACTGCTGCAATGAACACACAGCACATGTGGGCTGGGGGTGCTTAGCCCAGGCTCTGGGGTGGGACAGGGCCCGTGGGCCAGGGCCAAAGCCTCGTGGTAGGGAACGCAGCTGCACAGGGAAAGGACTGGAGCAAGCAGAGTCAGCTGGGGCGTGGCGGGAGGCAGGCTGGCACGAGTCACCAGACAGTGGAGACCTTCACGGGTGTCCAAAGACTGAGCCCTCTCCAGATGCTGATGGGGCCCGTGACGATTTCACGGCAGGGAGTGGAAATGGGAGTGAACTGTGGTCAATGGCGTCTCAAAGGCTGACACTGGTCCCAGGGCTGGCTGAGTGGCAGGAGGACAAAATGGAGGCAGGGAGGCCAGGTGGGAGTGGCCTTCATCCTTCATCCCTGTGTCACCTGATGGTGGCCTGACCCCAGACAGGAGGGGGAAGACTTTTAAAACAGTTAATTGCCCAAACCATGGCATCAGGTGAGGCCTTGGCATCCAGGGTCATTTTCCATGGAACAGGAAAGCTGGTGTTCTCCAACCAGCAGGGTCGGGCAGGGACAGGGACAGCAGGTGGGGCTCTAGCTCCTGGCATGAAGACCACCCTCCTAGACCCCAAGATCCCCGGCCTCCTTTTGACAGTTAAGGGGAGCTAAGAGGGATAGCAGAAGACGCCTCTCAGTTCAGCTGAGGTCAAGAGTATATTCGAGCCGAAAACTGGAAGCGGCTGGGCTGGCCTTGCTGAGAGCACCAGGGGGCCGTCCACACCTGTTAGTGCTGTTTGAGTTAGAGACAGGAAGTGGTAAGAAAGATGGCGCCCTCGGTCTAGCGGTGGCTGCTGTTTGTTTTCTTCTTTCGAGTGATAGATTTCTTGTTGTTGGTCAAGACCCTTGAAGTCTGCAATTTAAATTCAACTGGAAAGTGGTCACTGACGTTCAGGGCCTGTAAAGAGAAAATGGAGTTTTCATTCATATCCCGGCTCCGAAGTATGGCTTTTTTTTTTTTTTTTTTTTTTTTTTTTTTTGTTGCTATAGGATGCATGTACTTGCCGGAAATGGGGAGAGGAGGAAGTGAGAAAGCATCCCCCAGAGGGATGTCCATGCCACAATCCCTTCTCCTCTCAGGATTTTGGGCATGCACACCCGGCTGGCATGTTTATCAAGCCGCCAGGTCCAGGACTCAAACCCACAGTCGACCACGCAGGATCCAGCTGCCCTAACCTCCACGTTCCCTGCTGGCCAGTATTTGCTGTTTGCCCTTGGCTCCTGAGCAGCTTCGGAACAGCGTCAGTGAGGTAAGGGGGAAGGCCAGTCTGACCTCTCCTGCCCTCCTTTCCCCTGCTCTTTTTTCTCCTGGAACTAGAATTTCTCTGCCCCAAGGCGGGTCAGAGAAACCAAAAATATTCTAATCCTCCCCTGTCTTTCCGTCTTACAGCTGGCCATAAAGAAATCCCCAGACCCGCCCGTCTGATAGTAAATGATAAGACCCCAGGTCAGCAGGGGCCCTGCCCCTCCCCTGGGAAGAAGGTCTGCTGCCCAGAGGGGTGGGGAAGAGTCTGGACTGGCAGGCTTTGCTGGGTTTCCCGCCTGGTCTGTCGGCATTAGGTCATAGCCGTTGTCAGGTCACGTTTCTACAGTGTCATGTATGCTGCGATCATGTCTGTGCAATGAGGTGGCCGTAAGAAGGCGGCCAGCCTGGTGCTAAGTGTCTGGATCCCTCATGGCTGACTGCGGGCTTGGCGTCTCAGTCCAGGGGATTGGGGAACACAGTGAGTGCACGTGGTGCCCTGAATCCTGAAGGCAGAGCTGGAGGAGAGGGGACTGCAGTGCCCCGTGGGGGATGCTGCCTCGCTTTCCCTCTTTCTCTCTGGTGAGTGTATGTGCCTTCCTGCAAATTAAAATAAAGGAGTAAAATAAAACGGCCCCGAAGGACAGTGTCCAGGGCGTTGTGAGACAACTGACCATCCGGGGGCTCTGGAGGGAGGGGCACCCAGAGCATGGGAGCTCCAAACCCCACCCACATGCCTTTCGCTATGGAGCTCTTCCTCTGTATTAAAAACAAAAACAAAAACAAACTGCCAGAGGGTTTGTGTGCTCGCTGGAGAGAGATGAAGAGACAGACAGAGAGGGAGAGGAAGAAATCACCTCCCCTGTGGGGTATGGTCACAGCACAATCCCCTCTCCTCCATTCTCCCATCTCATTGAGATGTCCCATCAGGCTGCCAGGGCTGGGATTTGACCTGGTCAGCCAGATAAGACTCGACTCCCCTAACCACTGTGCTAGGGAGCCGGCCCATCACTGTAGCCTGCTTTATAATAAACCAGTAAGTGTGTCTCCCGCGCTCTGTGAGCACTTCCAGTGACTTAGCTGGAAGCAAGAGGCTGTTGTATAAGCACAGTTGAGAACCACCTCCCCTGGGCCCTGTGTTTGGCTTAGAAAGAGGGGTGCGGCTGTCTTGGAGACTAAGCCCGCAGCCTTTGGGATCTGTTGCTGCCTTCAGGAAGATCGGGGCAGGATGGAATAAAGTTAGGAGGGACCCTGCTGGCATCCATTGCTGTGAGATTGCGTGCTTAGTGTGTGCTCATTGCTGAGTGGGAATCTAGGAGAAAACTGGGTTTATTTCTAGTCTCACAGGGAGGTAGATTTGGGAATCAGGAGACAGCTGGGAAATGCTTTTGGCTTTGCGATGAGCAATTCAGGGATAGGGAGGACAGACGGAATGCCCGAAGTCATCCAACACAGCCCACGCTGGCGCGCATCGTCCCTGGACCAGCTCAGTCGGAAACTCGGCCGGGTTCTTCAAATCAGAGTCGTAGGCATTGAGATTCGAGGTCCAGAGGCGCAACGGCGAGTGTCCTCAGGGGTGACCTCAGACACCGACCGTCCTTCTGGGACAGAAACACAGAATGATGGGGAGGCAGGCTTACCCTCTCTTCGGTCAGCTTGTAGGCTTTCTGGAAGTCAAAGACGCCATTGGAGTTTGGAACAACAGAGTTCACGATCTCCTGCCCTCGGAGCACGATCCTAGAGTGAGAAGTGAAATGAGCCGCGTCCATCCGCCCTGCTGATGCTGAGCAGAGCACCGTCTGTGTGTGACGTAGGGGGAGACTGAGCAGCACCCCCCTTCCATGTGGCGCTCAAGGCCCACCCCTGGTTTCAGTCCGTGACCCTGGAAGGCAGTGCCCACGATGGAGAAATAGGATCGGTCCCTGCCGCGGCCTATGGGCACCAGGATGGTGTTGTCCAGTGTGCGTGGTGTTGCTGGTGGTGTGAGTGAGGGCTTTATATGACGCATGGACACTATGCCCTGCAAGGATGACCTACACATGGTCCTGATATGGCGTCCACTCCCGGTCTTAGCCTGGCCCAGATCCTGGGCACGTGTGTGCCTGGTATTCTCAGGCTGGTCTCCAGACACGAACTGGGAACCTCTTTATGTGGGGTCACTGCCTAGTCATTGTGTTTGACCTCTGTACCACCATCTGGCTCCATGGTTAACTTTGAACTCAATCCAAGTGTAAACTCTTAGCATTAAGCTAGAAAAAATGTTTAAAAAAAAAATTCTTTGAGATGCAGAGAACAAAGACAAAAATACGAAGGGCACCATAGTGAAGGCTCCCCTGTATCTGAGTTCTCCTGGGGAGGTGCACGAGTCCTTCAGCTGTTCATGTTGAGGCTTCCCAGACTGGTCCAGGACTCGGGCCAGTTCCCAGGCACCTTTGCACGCCCACCAGTGCTCAGCAGGTGGGAGGCATTCCATATGTATTTGAACACAGAACAAAGACCAGAATTGAGACCACCTTGTCCCCATGTTGCGTCTTCATCCCAGTGTTTGTATGGCATTTAAAAAAAAAAAAAAAAAAAAACTTTAAAATTTATTATTTATTTTTAGTTCTGTGCTTAAGGGTTCTCGTGCTCTCCAGAAAGAGACAGAGAGGGAAAGTGAGAAATCACCCCCTGCCCCAGGAGAGGCTGGCCATGCCAGTCCCTTCTCCTCCATTCTCTTCTTGGGACTTTGGGCACACATGCACACATGCCCTGCATGTTTTTGAAAACATTGGGTCCATGGAGTCAGCCATGTGGGATCCAGCACCTTAACCACCATGTCATCTGCTGGCCCCTTCATTGCTTTTTAAACGTCGTGAAAGTTATACATGCTGCTATGAAAAACATGGAAAATTCAGAGCATCGAAATAAGAAATTGAGGGAACCAGCAGTTAACGTTATGGCTATGTCGCTGGACTCCCACGTAGTTGACTGCGGTTCACGTCCTGGACCCGGTGGCTTAAAACTCACGCCGGGTACGTGTGCGTGCGTGCCCAAGATCCCGAGAGGAGAATGGAGGAGAAGGGATTGCGGTGTGACCATCCCCCCTGGGGGGTGATTTCTCACTTTCTCTCTCTCTGTCTCTCTCTGTCTGTCTGGTGAGCGCACGTGCCCTATAGCGAAAACCTCTCCAAAAAAAACCAAAAGAAATAAGAAATTGATGTTTTAAAAAGGTCCAGGTAATCCCACCATCCTTTGGTGTCCATGTGTATAAAACCAGAATCTTGTAAGTAAATGTCTTTCATTTACCTGTTTACCCACCCACCCTGATGTGTCGTAAACATCTTTCCTTTAGATTCACTGTTCTTCTGTATTATTGTTATTATTTTCTATCACCTTCCTTTTCATTTGCCCGGGGTGAATGGGCTGGGGAGAGACTTGACCCCTCAAGGTTACACAGCTGCACATTCAAGGGACTGAGTGGCCTCCCCCTCGCTTTTCTGGAAGCCGTCAGGGTGGCGGGTGGGAGGGCGGTCAGGGCTCTCAGTCTCCGTGACTTCCCACCTCGGGTTTCCACTTTCGAGAACTGCAGCTGTGACTTCTGCAAAGGAAACCCTGGCCCCGAGAGCTCCAGGAGGAACAGAGAAGGTCACGGGATAGAAATGAAAGCCAGACCTCAGAGCCTGGGAAGTGAGAGCCACGCACTGGGCTCCCACAGATGGCCAGCCCGTGCTTCTGGGGCATGCTGAGCTGTGGCCCTCCATAGCCAGCGGTTTCCCCGCTGTGGTCTCTGCCCTGGAAGATCCCTGACTTCCTCACACTTCAGGCCCTCCTGTCTTCCTCTCAGCTGAAGGAGCAAAAGTGAAAGCTGCCTATGACAGGTCAAGTGGACGCAATTATTTAAGTGTATGCACATGCATTTAGGAATCTGTAGAGAAAGCTGGTGTGGTAAGGCGGCTGGATCTCACATACCATTTGCACAGTTCAAGTCTCAGTGGCTTGGAAAACATGCTGGATGCATGTGTGTACATGCCCAAAATCCTGAGAGGAGAAGGGCTTGCAGTGTGACCCTCTCCCCTGGGGGGATGCTTTCTCACTTTTTTTTTTTTTGTCTTTCTCACATGTGTCTTACAGCAAATTTTTAAAATGCTTTTAAAAACATTTTTTAAAGAATTATTTTATTTAACCTTATTTATGTATGTATTTATTTTAATTTAACCAGAGAGGGACAGAATGTGTAGAGGGGTGGAGGATGAGTGAGAAAGCAAGCCACCAGGTCCTGGATTCGAACCACAATCAGCCATATGGGAGTCCAGCGCCCTTAACCACCACACCACCTGCCAGCCCCTAAAGTTTATTTTTTTTTTAAGTGCCAATATTCTTGCACTAACTGGAATCACTTTTAGAGTTGTATCCTGAGCAACTTGTATGTATTTGCACAAATGCATTTGGGGATGTTCATTGCAGCAGTAATTATACCAGCAAACCCTTGAAAATGATGGAGGGTCCAGTAATGGGACTGGGTGGATAAGCTGCAGTGTATTTTTTTTTTTCAGTGTATCTTTGTGTGGAATCATTCACAGCCAAGGAATATACTGAGCACTTGCCACACGCCAGGCATGCTGTAGGCAGCTTTCCACGTTACTTCACGTAATCCTCATCATTGCCTAAAGGGGGCAATACCACAGTCTCTGTTTGGCAGGTGAAGAAATGCAAACACAGAGAGCTTGTCTCCAGGTCACAGTCATAGTTAGTGGTAGAGTAAGGATCTGAACCCAGGCCTGTCTGACATAAAGCTGGTGCTTGCTGCTGCTAAGCTCCAGTGTCTGGGGCCATCACACTGCTCATACACTGCAGGAGGTACCTCGTGGAGGGGCCTGGCATCTGTTTGACTTGGCTATCTGAACCTTGTGCCTCATTGGCCCAAAGGGGCTGCCTTTTCTGAAGCACGCACAGCAGGCCCCGTTCAGCGTCCTGCAGCTGCCCCTACCTGTCGTATGCGCAGGTAGTGCTCTTCTTGACCGTGGTGTCCTCTTGGTCCCCGATCAGCCAAACGAACCTGGGGTCGGTCCTCAAGCGAATGTTCTTCCAGGCTTTCTTGGGGACATAGCTGCAGCCAGCATTGAAGTCACCCATGAAAATGAAATTCTGAAAGACACAATTTGGAACTATCACTCAGTAGGCAGTTTCGTGGACACTTCTACCAGGACTGCTAGTAAAGATCCCACCCCTAACACCAGTAAACAATAGGGTCTGTTATGGGCCAAATTGTGTTCCCTACCCACATTTATATGTTGAAGTCTTAAATCCCATCACCTTAGAATGCGACCATATGTGGAGATAGGCTCTTCAGAGGTACTTAAGGCAAAATGAGATCATGGGACAGGCCCTTAATCCAATATGACTGGTATTCTTTTATTAAAAAGGAGATTAGTGGGGCTGGCCCTATAGTGCAATACTTAAACATTATGCATAGGGAGACGGATGCCACATGGCCAACTGTGGTTTGAGTTCTATCCCCAGTGGCTTGAGAATCATGCTGGCATGTGTGTGCATGCCCCAAATCCTGATGGTATGAAGAAATGGAGGAAAAGGGATTGGGGAGTGACCACGCCCATTGGAAGGTGATCTCACTCTGACATGCACATTCTCTCTGGCAATTGAAAAGAAAGGGGGTGGGGTAGGGAGATTAGGACTATGTAAAGACAGGAAGATGATGACTATATGAACTCAGGAGAGGGGCTCCCAGAAAGACCAACCCAGCTGCACATCTTCATCTTGGACTTGCAGCCTCTAGAACTGGGAAGACTCGAGGTAAAGGCACAAGTGCCATGCCCACTGTGTGGACCACCTACAGAGTTCACCGGAACGCCCAACGCCATGACAAGAGACAGTCAAGCCACAAGTCAGGATGAGAACGCACTGACTTCGTGCGATGGACAACCTTTTTGCAAGGCGTCAGAACTGGACTCCCTAACATAATATGACTTGTGCCCCACGTAATTTTCCTTACTTATGTTTACCTCTTTCACTTGGCAAGAGGATACTGTAGTTAAAATTTGTTAGTCATGGGCCAGCAAGTGGTATGATGGTTAAGGAGCTGGATCCCACATTGCTGACTCCACGGTTTGAGTGGGTCCTGGACCTGGGGATTTGAAAAACACTTTAAGCATGTATGTGTGCATGCCTAAAATCCCAAGAAGAGAATAGAGGAGAAGAAATTACACTGTGGCCATCCCCTGGAGGATGATTCCTCACTTTCTCTCTTTCTCTGTCTCCACCAAGTGCACACACCATAAAACAAAGAACTTTAAAAGATTATAATCAGGGACCAGCAGGTGGCATGGTGGTTAAGGGTGCTAGACTCACCCTTTCTTCGTTTAAAGTATTATTTATTTTATTTTATTTATTCATTTTATTTTAATTTGACCAGAGAGAGAGAGAGAAAGTGAGAAAGCAAGCTACCAGGTTGGGGACTTGAAACATAGCCATGTGGGAGTGTCTAGTGCCTTAACCACCATGTCACCTGCTGGTCCCAATAAAATAATTCTTAAAAAGAAATAACAATCAGTAACTTCTGTGGGTAGTTTGCAACCTCTCACTTCCTGTCTGAGTTGAACTCGGTCCTGGGATGCTAAATAGCACCGGCACCTGCTAGCTGAACAGAAAGGAATCTGCAGTGGTGACATGTATTGTTTTACTTGGTTAAAAATAGTCAGCTCCTGGGGTCAGCAGGTGGCATGGTAATTAAGGCGCTGGACACTCCTGCATGGCCAACTGGGGTTCAAGTACTGGACCTGGTGGCTTACTTTCTCACTTTCCCCTCTCTTTCTGGCTGTCTCTGGTCAAATAAAAAAAAAAAAAGAATGGATGAATGGATGAATGGATGGAATGAAATAATTCTTTAGAAAAATATAGTCAACTCCTTATATTTTGAAAAAGTTAGTTGAATGGGGACTCTGGCTAAGGAGCAGACTCCGAACTCTTGGTATTATCCTCCTTGAAGAGCAGTCATATCAATAACGAAGCATGAGTACCTCCATTTTGAATATGACTCCACTGCCATTCCCCTTTCCCTGTAAGCTGACCCTTATGTGCCTCCTGGACATTGCTCACGGAATCCTGATCACCAGTAGGTGAACACTGCCATCCATCCCTGTCCTCCTAACTGAATATTTACTGTCAGCAGACGCAGCCGATGATCACCGTCCTTCCTGATAACTCAATTTTTTTGGCTTTTGTACACTGTGCTCACGTAAGTCAAGGACTCTACTTTTATAGATGTGCAGGTTTTTTCTTTTTTCTTTCTTTCCTTTTTTTTTTTTTTTTGGAGAGGTTTTGCTATAGGGCGCGTGTGCTTGCCAGACAGACAGAGAGAGACAGAGAGACAGAAAGCGAGAAATCACCCCCCAGGGTGGATGGCCACGCCGCAATCCCTTCTCCTCCATTCTCCTCCCGGGATCTTAGGCACGCACGCACACGCGCCTGGTGTGAGTTTTAAGCCACCGGGTCCGGGACACGAACCGCGGTCGACTACGTGGGAGTCCAGCGACATAGCCATTACGCTAACTGCTGGTTCCCTCTTTTTTCTTTTTTTAACCTTTGTGGATTTTGCCTGTATAAACCCTTCTCTCTGCTTTGGGGATGCAAGATTTCAGAGTGACTAAAGTCCTCTCACAGTGGCTGGTTAAATTAAAGGCTCCTTTAATTTGGTTAAAACTGGATGTCTTCTTATTTTCTTGCTGATTTAAATATAAATAATAGTATAGCTTCCAAGGTGCACTATAGTCTCTCAAATGTTGTAAATGTCTATCTATTGTCATCTGTCAGAATTCCAGTGGTCTCCCTCTGGCTGGATCAACAAACACTCAGAAAAATGCATGAGAATAAGGAGGACACCTTAACTCATGAAAAAGCTGAGACCAGAAGCCCAAAGTGATGGTAACTGAGAACGACACTAAGGCCTTGGTATTTGGTCACACTCCCACCTAGGTGAGAGCCTGACCAACGGCAGGGAATCATTAAATAAAAAATTTAAGAGGCTGTTGTTTTTGATTATGCTCTAGGTCCAAACAGACTAGACCAAAATGGAGTTACTCAAGCTAAAATGTCAGGTCATAAAACTGAATTTTTTTTTAAAGAATTATTTTATTTATCTTTATTTATTTTTAATTTCACCAGAGGGGAACAGAGAGAGAGAGAGAGAGAGAGAGAGAAAGTGAGAAACCAAGCCACCAGGTCCGGGACTTGAACCATGGTTAGCCACATGGGAGTCCAGCACCCTTAACCACCATGCCACCTGCCAGCCCCAAAACTGAAATTTTAAGGAAACTGATGGATTGCAAAATTTATAAAAGATGAAATTTTCTGAGACCAGCAGTTAGCGTAATGGCTTTGTCGCTGGACTCCCATGTAGTCTACCGTGGTTCGAGTCCCAGACCTGGTGGCTTAAACTCATGCCGGACGCGTGTGCCTGCGTGCCCAAGATCCCGAGAGGAGAATGGAGGAGAAGGGATTGCAGTGTGGCCATCCCCACTGGGGGGTGATTTCTCACTTTTTGTCTCTCTGTCTCTGTCTGGAGAGCGCATGCGCCCTGTAGCAAAAACCTCTCAAACAAACAAACAAAAAAAGATGAAATTTTCCAGAAAAAGGAGACTCCAGTCTACCTAAGTTAGTGCTTTGAGGAAATAAAACTTAAGCCTATCTTGTGGCTTTCTGAGGCATGTGCAGCTGAAATAGGATTTTCTGTCTGAGAACATCCGTATTGCTCAAAGACATCCCCCTCACTTCCCAGACTCACTGTCTTCATACTTTGCATAAGATTATGCAAAGCAACTCTGGAGACCATGAGGTCATCCCCCTCCTGCTCCGTTTTCACAGACTTTAGCCAGTCCCAGCTGTACGGGCGTCCTTGCGCTTCCCCCCTCACCCACATTCGCAATTTTCACCTTTATAATTGTTAGCATCTTGGCACATATCCTTGGGTTTTTGGCTCCTGGGCAATTGTCCTAACTTTGGTCCGAATAAAATTTTTTGCTTACTTGCTTTGCCTCAGCCTTCTTTATAGGTTGACAGAGGAAATAACTTTCTATTGTCTAAGCCTCCAGTCTTCAGTAATTTGTTAAGGCAGTGCTAGCCAATGAGCAAAGGGCTTTTCTTCAATTCTTTTCAGTTTTTTAAATAATTATTTTTTCCTAGGGTGCATGTGCTGGCTGGAGAGAGACAGAGACAGAGAGAGAGAGAAAGCCAGAAACCATGCCCCAGGGGTGATGGCCATACAACAATCCCTTCTCCATTCTCCTCTCAGGATTTCGGTCACACATGCACACACATCTGGCATGTTTTTCAAGCCACCGGGCTCTGACTCAAACCATGGAGTTGATCATGTGGGATCCTGCATGAACCACCACGCCACCTGCTGGCCCTCTTTTTGCTTTTTAGGGAAGAGGCTGTGGTTTAACATTGAGTTGCAACTTTGATGAGTATTTGATATGCGAGTTTGCACCAAGGAGGGTGTTGCTAATAGGAAGAATGAGGTTTGCTGTTCTTAATCATCCCATCTTGGTCACTGGGCTGCGGAGTTAGGTGGGGAGGAAAGAAGCCAGCTCACATAGTCCCTCATATCTTTTGTTTCTGGTCCAAACTACTGTAAGATATAAACACATGAAGAAATCCATGCCATTTATTCCAAGCAGGAAAGAGGAATGTGGGTGATTTAGGGACAGCTTGGCCCCGCTCTTTTTCTCCTGTTGTTTTCAAGTTGGAAATTGAAATTCAGCTTTTTGAGGAAGTGGGGAGAAGTGGGAGGAGTCTTAAGAGGAGGGGGCCATGGCGTTAGCTGTTCCAGGCCATCAACAGAAACTGTCTATCTTGAAAGTATTTTTCCCTGCAGGATGTTGGAATGGAATTTTAGCATCTCATGATACAGAGGAAGTGTCAGCTTTTCTTATTTTGTGCTATTGTTTGGGATGGTGGCTGACCTTAGCATTTTCTTCAAAAACATTTTATTTTGACCTCGGCGATCATGGTTTTCCGAGATTGATGGACACAGCTGTAAACAGGTCATCTCTAACCTGAGCAATCATCTGCTTCTTGGAATTAGGCATGATTTGCTGAGCATTCACTATGGGCCATGCCCAGCATTAAGT